TATATATATATATATATATACATACATACATACATATATGTACACATATATATATAAAATTACTAAAATATAATCAGCGTAATATAAATATTACCTGTCAGAATCAGGGCCATGTCGGGCAATGACCATCTTCAGTCTCGAAAGACCGCCGACAGGTACTCGATCGCTACCCGTAGTGAATTGAAGAAGTCTTCGTTGACTTTCTGGTGGTAAGGAATGCGCTACTTGCCAAAAGTTACGTACCGCTTTGCTATCCACGGTATAGCCACCTTCGTACTCCGTAGCTGCTTCCAGCTCAGCGAAATCAAATATTTTGCTTCCACAAACGAGCTACGCGTATGTTGAATAATTTCATTAAAATAAATTTGATATAACGTATTCTTTACGCCATATCAACGATTGTACCTGCTCAATCTCTTCAGGTCTAAAGAGTAATGCGAGCGGACTCTCGTCTGAAACCATTTGGAAGCCACGTCTGAAAGCGTTGAATTGTCTCTCCACGGATTTGTTAAGCAAGAAATCCGCATAGAGATCAACAAATTCCTTTTTGTTTTCCTGCGTGACATACAGCTCATCACCATTCTCTTTGAGTTCATGAAACGATAACGATCCAAACACGTCTCTATAGAAAAGATGCAATGAGAAAATACAATAAAATTCTTATCGTGATAACTAACTTATTGGAAACATACCTGTAACTCACTCGGAAAGTTTGCATAAATGTCTCCGGCATGTCATCTCTCGTATACTCTATTAATTCTTTCATTGTTCGATACAATGTTGGACTCCAATCCTCTAAATCCGGAAAACCGCCTTTCCTGCCTAATAATTTTCTATAGACCACCATTGGAAAACGTACATCCAGAATTACATTATTATAAATTGCTAAACCAATAACGATGCCTATTAATGTGAACTGTGCGTCACTCTCAAATGATGTTGGGTTAAACCATGTCATTTGCGTATCTTCCTAAAATAAAATAGTAATGATATCTTATAAAAACTAAATTATGAACATACAAAAAGAAGTATTAAAGGAATCCTAAAATCGTCTGTATAACCAACTAAATTATATAATTTTTATATAACAATTACTTTTTTCCTCTCTTTTACTGATTTAAAAATTCTTTTCCAGAATTAAAATATACGCATCAATACATATTTGTGAGGTGAAGTTTACGCCGAGAATGACAAAAAATTTCGAAATTGAGATTTTTACCATTTTTTGTCCAATATGGTGTTTTAGAGCTGTTATGTCGTGACAATATTTGCTTCATATAAAAGCTATGCTATATGTACTTATGAAATTCACAGATTAGTAGTTTGCATGAAAAAATAGTGGAGTTCTTAAAATTGTACTTAGACGTCTAAATTAAAACGTAATTGTTACACAAAAATTTATGTATATGTGTAGCATGCGTGAATGATATATTGATAGTACTGTGCTAGCGACATGTAAATCGTCTGTGTGTAAGTGCTCATATTTATAATATGACTAGTCATCTTTAGGATCCCCTTAAACACTAAAACAAAATAAGACAAAAATAAAAGAGTTACATAAATTTACTTGGTCGTGCAAATTCTTACCTGAGTGGTAAACATGCCAAAATCAGGATTAAATATCTCTTCAACAACTAATTGAAAGAATTCTTTAGATACACCTCCTTCGTCAACACCTTGTTCTCCCTCGAATTCGACAACTAATTGCTTTTTTAAATCGGATGGATTTTCCATCGCCACCATTTCTAATTCCACCAATGCATCATCTATTAAATGATCTCTTCGTACCTGTTTAAGTTAAAAGTAAAATTCACACTGATCTTTTTTTTCAAAGTTAATCACCTCGTTATTCATCTTCGAATCAACAAACCTTTAATCTAAGATATGGATTAGTTGGTTGCCCGACAACGGTTTGCAAAAAGCTCATACGTCGTTCGCTATACATTCTGATACGATTGTCATAATATAAGCCCAAAGTTTTAGTAGCCGGCGTGAGAATAAAAGCGTAATTCATAAAACTAAATTTCTGTGGCTCTTCGCTTTTGTAATAAGCGAAATCTTTGTCCATCTCTATGGCATCGCTAAGTGGCTCATTATAAAAATCAGTAAATGGTATGAAAGGTTTACGTGCATCCAATGCAGTAATTCCTAATTCTGTCGCTAGTAGATCCTAAAATATATATTGCTCTTTTATTTATCGTACAAAATAATGTATACCAGATTAACAGCTAATTAACAGAGATGATACCTGAGGAATCTGTCCTGATCCTACTGCTGATCGTGAAGTATTTTTGTCGCTACTAGCCGGTTCACCTTCATCACTCAAAATTAACTCAGGAGGGTCTAATTCACCAGCCAACATACTCGCATAATATAGAATTTTCATAACTTTCGTAGGTGCGGTAATAGTGTCTGCATCTTGGACACAATAATCACGTGTAAAGGCTCCTCCAATTACCTTTAACGCGATATCAAATCTTTTATGATCAGGAAATAAATATACTTATTATTTTAAGACTTAAACAAGTGAAATAGATGCTATCGACAAAGTCGAGAGAATGTAACCTTGACAGTTATGAGTTCTTGAAGTGCTTGCAGAAGGCTTGGAAGTTGCGATTTGCAATGCTTGGCCCATACGCGTGCTAACTTGGCTTGGGCCAATACCGGTACACAGCTCAATGCTTTACACAGCATATGGAGAGCCAATTCCAAATATTCGCTATTTCCGAGCATTGGAATTTCAAAAACAATGAGAAATATGTTTAACAAACTATCCATGCTGTCCCAACGTACCATACGAAATACTCTCAGGTCTAATTCTATATCATCCGCCAAAGTGACTAGCGCATTGACCAGAGCTGATTCGAACATTTCACCTAATAAAATGAGGAAAAAATATGTATTTAATTTAATTAGAAAGGTATCGATGTTAAGATAGTATTTAAAATCGTATTTATTCATACCTGGTAGAGACCAAAGCGCTTCAAAAGCTCTACGGACCGATGGTAAGTCAACACTAGTATCATCATTATTAGGAACTGTAGGTGATGGATCACTGCTATCTTCTTCTTTATCTTCTCCCTGTAAAGATCGTACCGCTTCTTTATTCAAATCTGCGGGTGGCCTTAACAGACTGTCTGGTGCTCGTTCAAGAAGTGCCGTCAAAGGAGAATTACTTTTCTCAGTCTTTTGAAAACTGATACTTAATGCTTTTCCAGAAGAAAACACTTCTCCCAAAGTACGAATTAATAAAGAATATGAATCTTCTGCTTTACATTTTTCTATAATATTCAGAAGTTTAGCTTCTGTAAGATATATCTCAGGTTTTCCTAATGAAAAACGAAAATATTATTTGCATTAAAGTATAATTGGATAGTTTTGAATATTGCCTACAATAATTAGATGTTTTGATTTAAAAATTAAAATTTTACTAAATTAAATAAATACCTTCATCGGAGCTTGTAGAATTAACACTTTTTACAGGTAGACTCTTAGCTAATGACGTTTGTCCAGGCTCTATAGTAGTTCGAGCAACTTTACTGGGTTGTGTACCATCGCACAGTCTTGCTTCTTGCGAGAATAATTGTATCGCTTGTGCGGCTGCTTGATTTGGAGTAAGATTAGTTACCTAGCATGAAATCAAACAAGGTACACAAAACATTATTTAATTTCTATTACAGTTTGTTGTAGATAATTGGATTTTAAAGTCATACTTTGCCACTGGAGGCACAATGCTGATTGTCACAATGAGGATTTCCACATCCATCCGTGAGTTGATAAAAGTAACGTTCGATGAGCTTCTTTGCAGCTGCGCGCTTCATGTCGCTGCAAGGGCTCTCAGCTCCTACCCTACAAAAATGATAGTGCAACATAAAATATATGTAAACTAAATCCTTAATACTTTCTACTGCATGATTATAAATAAATGTACTTTATATTTATAAAATTTTATTGCTCAAAATGTTTCTAAAAAAAACATTTAGTTTTTATGTCTGTACAAATGTCATTTCTCTATATAAATGTATCTAGTCATTTTAGAAGATATTATGTGAAACTGATTAAGTAAAAAAGAAACTATTAAAGAACAAATATCATAGATTAATTCCCTAATAACTACAAAAAGATGAAGAGTAGTTGAACTGAAATTACGATTAATCTACATTGATAGAAATGAATAAAATTTTTAGAATTGGAAAAAAAGATACAAAATAAATTAAAGTATAAAGAGATTAATCTACATTGTTAGAAATAGACATAAGACGATCAGTGTCGTTGCACCAAAACAAAAGTTAATAATAGACAGCCTCACGATTTCGCGATCTCACATGACGAAAGTAAAGTACGTTGCTGTAAACAAATCTTTTATAGGAACAAGTGAGAATGAGAGAGACGGAGTGATGGAGCGGGAAAAGAAGAGATAAAGAAAAGGAGATCGTGCCAAGGAAGGCGAGAGAAAAGACAGAAGGCGGCAAAGAACCTCCACAATGTTTCACGAGAACATCTCGATCCGCCGATCGTATCGATTTTAACACGCATACGAATCGGAGATGTTCGGAGAACCGAGCGTCTGTCTCTCGATCACATAAACTCTCGGAACAATTCGCTGTCAAACACGCGATGACACTCTACTCCCCGCGAAAAAGAGCAAGCGTTTCCTTTTTTCTTATTTTTTTTTCTTTTTTTTTGGTTCTCTTTTACGGGGCGGACGCTAAAGGACGCAACCAACTCTCGTGACACCTGGAAATGTGATCTTCTCCAGGGTCTCCCTGACTCTTGGCGCTCATAGACCGTAAATCGTCGGAATTTTGCCTGTTTTGCTCGGCGACAGGAAGCTGAGCCGTGACCACCGCGAGCTCGTCACCGCACTCCAAATCCGATCGTCGCGCGCAGTAATTATCGTCTACGCGACACGTCGGGGTCCCCGCCGCTCGGCAGTTTCAGTACCACAAATGTTGGACTTCCGCGGAGCGAAACGTTGCACAATGCTCGTCTGTCCACCGTGTGTGCTCTTTAAACGTCGCGTGTTGACGACGATCACGTTCTTCACACAGCAGACAAGGGATACTTTTCAATACGTCAGAGACACGGCGCGGGGGGGAAAGAGGAAAGGAGCGGAGGGGGGGGGGAGAGAGAGAGAATAGAGTTTAAAGGCAATAGAAAAACATAAGGAGTGAAAATAACGAAGAACGAAGCACGCAGAATAGAGAAGACAGATGGATGGAAATGCGGGAGAGAGAAAGAGGGAGCGAGATCGAAAGAAAGAGAGAGATTCAAAACGATTCTTAAAGGGAAAATATCGATGTCGAGAATCCGGGTGTTTTGGAGGTTAGGAAAATGGACGGCTAAGTTAATTGTCCTAATTTATGCGACGGGGACTCGACGCGAATTCCAATCGGCTTGCGAAAATCAGAGAATTCGTTTGAGTAAAAGAACCACCACCGTCTTCTTTTACTTTCTGTGTCTACTGACGTCTACCGTTTGCGATCAGCACCAACGGAGCCACGAGTTATCGCGGTGGTGCACCGCGACTCTCGATCCATCGTGATCGCGCGCGATCGTTGTGACATATCGATTTCGTGATTTGTCGCGCGATTTAAATTTTGCACACGTATATATTATGAAAGATGTATGATTACAATTATAACATAATATGATGTTTTTAATAATTATATGTATAATTTAAATATATTGTATTTTATTATTATACATTTCTTAAATATATGTATTATATTATTACACATTATTAGGTCCGATTCTACAAATGTAAGAGACTATTTATGTTTTTCTACATCCAAGAGTTAGAAGAAGTTAAATAAATTAAATAAATAAATAAATAAGTTAAAATAAATTAAATCCAGATTAAAATTAATCTTATACTTGAAATGTAAAGTAATTTGTTTTAATATGTTTTGTGACAAAAAAATAAAATAATAATTATTTAATTAAAAATTTTATCTTTAACTAGTTGTAATAATCTTTCAAAATTCTATATATTATATAATTATCGGAATTATCATCATAATCATTAACATTCACTGTTACGATAATTACAGACAATTGTAAATTATTATACTAAATCTTTGTATTAAAAAAATTATTTACTTTTTATATTAATACTTTAGTTATTTATTTTTTCCGTTAAAAAAAAATACATATATATTGTTCATAAAATGTACATATGCGACTTGCATGAATACTCATATTGTTTTACTACAATAAGATTGGATCGTTCCATCAGCTCATTGATCCATGGAGACCTTTAATATTTTCTATCGCACTTGAAATTCTCGTAAAAAGATGTGACAGGAAATTACTGTCAGGTCGGATTTGTTTAAACAAGTATCAAATCAATAGAAGAAAACTTTTCTACGTGCGTTTATGTGAAAGTAATGCGTGAAAAGAGATGAATTGCGAGAGTAACAATTCGCACGCAAGAAAGATTTCATTGCTCATTGTTCAGGAGATAACAAGCGGATTCTATTTGATGACAATTACTCATCGGAAATCAATACGTCGACGACTTTCTGCGAGAAATTAAAGTAAATTGTTTTCAATAACGTTACGTAAGGTGATTAATGGAACACTAAATTATGCTGTTCTTTTTAATTCTTATGTACTTTCCCGGTATTCTGGAATTGCCTAGAATTTATTCAAATGAACAATTAACAATTACAATTTTTAATCAATGATCAGTTAACTGATCAGTTTTCTAATCATGATTATCATATATTCTATATATATAGAAAATTAAAAACTCTTCTTAACTCTCTTAAAAGTTAAGTTTTAATTTCTGATGTAAAATGAGGAATTAGAAGAAAATTAAATCTCCACTTTTAACTGCTAAAAAGAATTTTTAATCTTCTCTTTTATACTCTATTCTCATTATTAGTACTAATAGAAAATGTTTAAAAGAAAATCTGCAAGTGTCAGTAGATGATGAAGTACTTAGCTATCGAAAATCATATCAAAATCGATGTCAGAAAATCTTTGCTTTTAATCTCTATGCCTCCCACGCGATCAACTCACAAGGATAGATGCAAATCCTACATCACTCTCCCTGAAGGTAAACCTGGGCCAATCGTACAGTATCGAGAGGATGGCCAAAGTGAGGGAGAGGGTGCAAAGGTTTAGAGCAGAGCAGCTCGCAGGAGCAGTAATATCGATCGATCCGGAGTGGAGCTCGACAGGTCTCGGTTTCCTAATGCGTGGGAGAGAAAGAGAGAGAGAGAGGGGAGAGAGAGAGAGAGAGAGAGAGAGAGAGAGAGAGAGAGAACGGAAACGAGGAGAGAGTGTCGAGCAGGGTTGAGTTCTCCGGAGAGGTGAAGAGGGCATGTAGCAAAAGCTATCCTATAATCAGACAGACAGGCCGATCAGCTGCCCGGGCACAGATCGCTCTCGCGCTACTCGATTAGTCTTTCACATACACTTATCTTTATTCATTCGCCTGTGTTTATTTGCCTTTGGCCTTCTTTCTTATTTTCTTTTCGGTCTTGTACCCTTTTTTATTTTCTTCTTATGTTCTTTCTTCCGGATTCCTTTCCTCTTGCAATTGTGGCTCGGATCTGTCACTCATCGGCCTTGAAATAAGTATAGTGACAGTGCAAATTTGACCTTGGCGAGTTACACTGTTAAAGCTAACAGGTAGGTCAGTACTGTCGGCGGTTATCAACTATATGATAACCGGCGTTGCTCAACTTGTTCTCGGAGTACTTAAGCGGATATAAATATGAACGTACGGATTTTGGATGATAAAGACTGATAAGTATTATTTCAAATCGAAATTCATGGATGACTGATTTGTTCATTTTTAAATTAGTCATCATTCAATTTTAATGTTAGTCTAAGTGATTCTTTGTCTGAAATCGGAATTAAAAAATGACAAAAAGAATGTAAATTTTATAAAGTTAAAGTTGATGAATCTGAACTTTAACCCAATAGATTAATTTGGAAAAAATATAGAGCTGTCTTTCTTTAATGTTGAAGAGTTTTTGATATGTTGTTAAACAGAGAGAGAAAGAATATAAAAAAGACACATGTCTTTTTATTATATAATTGCATTTTCAATTAACGTGCATGTTTGAATGTGCAAAGCTTTTTTATCTATTCTTGTATATCTTTTTTTATTGATATTTTTTTAGTATCTGTTTACATTATTATACCGATATATTCTACGCTAAATTATCGAATATATAAATGATATTAAACATGTAATTATTCGTCATCAGAATGCTAATTTAAAAGTCCTAAATCAACCATAAAGCAATTAAAATTCGATTACATAATTAATTTTTTGCATTTGATTTCTAAAAAAACGATATTTGTAAGGTTGATACATAAATACATAATTAAATTTGTGCGAGATTCACTCTGGATTTAAAATCCCAATAAACGCGCACAATTGTTTGTAGTTTATTTTTCTTTGGCGAATAAGACAAAAACGCAATTTTTGTTTAATTCAATCAAAGAAAAAAGTTTTACCGTTTACATGTGTATGTATTAATTGCGTGATTGAATGAGTATGCATTTATGTAGTGTTAATGCAATAATAATGATTAGAGTATGCATAATTTTTGTTTAGCAGTGTACAATAATTTTAAACATAGAGATAATAAAAATGGGCGCGAATACATCGCTCGTAAGAAAGTAATTTTCTTGTAGTCTTTACGATAAATGAAGATAGGCTTTTATGTTCAATGATAGAATTTAAAGCTAAATCAGTAATGTAATCAGTGACAAAATAGTATTCAATGAAAAAACTTATACACAAGACAAAAAATGAATACGTAAAAAGTTTGCTCACCAAAGAAAATTAATAATTTACATTGAATTTTTGAGCGCGACTTGGTAACCATGAGAAAACGAAGAAATAATTAATATCACGGAGACCATATCAAAAGATCATATGTTTAAAGAATGGAAGAAACATCTTCAAGATTACGTCCTTACATGGATTGGGACGTAAGTAAAATTCACGTTAACTTAATAAATATTTTTACAGATAGTATATCGCGCGGACAAGTATATCGTGTGAAAGCGTTTAAAATTGTTAAGTATTATTAAAATATAGTTGTCGATTTTTTTTTTAGAACGAGAATAAATATTCAATAGCGAATAGTCAAGCACCCTTGCAGAGTGGCGAAGACGAACACTCGAAACGCGGAACCTGGACAGGAAAATTCGATTTTCTTTTGTCTCTTTTGGGATATAGCGTGGGCCTCGGAAATGTCTGGAGATTTCCGTATCTTTGCTACTCGAATGGCGGCGGTGCTTTCCTGATACCATTCATCGTGATGCTCATCACCGCCGGATGGCCTCTTATGTTCATAGAACTTTCCTTAGGTGATTAAAGAAATCAATGGAACATTTTGAGATTCATAGTACTATTTGCGCTGTCATGACATATATGTACTATATATATATATAGATACTGTTTTTTATTCTGCAGGACAGTATGCTAGTCTCGGACCGGTGGCGGTTTACGAACAGTTTTGTCCTTTGTTTCGTGGCTTAGGATATGGAATGGTTCTCGTTAGTTCCATTGTCATGCTCTATTATAATTTAATTATTGCCTGGACACTGTATTACATATTTGCCTCAGTCAATGGTAAATAATAATGTTAATACGTATATTCTGTGCATCATCTGATTTATTGATTGATAAAAAAGTAAAATTTGAACAGCTGTTTATAAATAACACTTTGCGAGGCATACTAAAAATAGAAATTACTGTTTTTTTCAAAGAATTATTCAAATCAACAAATTGTGCGCAGGCGATTGGGAGTTACCCTGGAGCAAATGCGAGAAGAAATGGAGCACCGAGGATTGCTTTATGCCGGACGTTGCCGAGACTTGTGTCTCTCAAAATGCTTCTTACTTCAAAGGAAAATGCCTCAATTCAACTCAAATGACTGCGATGGGTCTGATCATCGAAAATATAACTGGCGCTATCAGAAAACCGCCATCCGAGGAATATTTTCAGTAATAACATACGTCATATAGATCGATGTTTTTTAATTGCGCTTTGTTCAATCTATTATTACGGGTCTTGTTAGTTTAATAATTTAATAATTTAATAAGTTTTTAATAATTAAAATTTTAATTTTTTTATTGATGAAAACAATTATAATTTTAATGTAAAAGTAATTTGCAATATTATATATTGAATAACAATATTATATATTGTATAACTTTCTTCTGTCTTCAACATGTATATGTTGTGAAGAGTAATAATTTTAAATAAGAAATAAAAGACAGAATATTTCTTTGCGTCTAGCAATCATGTTTTGGGGATCAGCAGTGGAATCGAAGAAACTGGATCAATTCGACCGTCTATTGCAATTAGCCTCTTTTTGGCGTGGTTCATTGTGTTTCTTTGTTTGAGCAAAGGTGTGCAAAGCTCAGGCAAAGTCGTATACTTCACTGCTCTTTTTCCGTATGTTGTTCTGGTATGTTCACAATTTTAACGTATGTGATATTAATTTAGTGTATTTTAAATAAATAAATTTCTTTTTTATAGATTGCCCTTTTTATTCGTGGAATTTTACTTCCTGGTGCTAAGGAGGGTATACTTTTCTATCTAACTCCTGATTGGAGAAGACTCACATCCACCAAAGTATGGGGAGATGCTGCCGTTCAGACTTTCTTCGCTTTGAGTCCAGCCTGGGGCGGCCTGATCACTTTGAGTTCTTATAATAAATTCACTAACAATTGCTACAAAGACTCCTTAATCGTGGCGATAAGTAATATCGCGACTTCCTTTTTTGCCGGCCTGGTGATCTTTTCGGTAATCGGCTTCCTTGCTCACGAGCTCGACGTACCAGTGGCGTCGGTGGTAGATGAAGGCCCTGGGTTGGCGTTTATAGTTTATCCAGAGGTGATTATTGATTTTAGTCTTCGATCAAATCAATCTTGCATTTTTTTTCATCGATTTTCAACATCATTCTTGTTGTCAAAAACAGAATAATTAGACAAATACATTTTCTCATCGATTTATACTGGTAGGCGTTCGAGTATATGTTTCAGGATCACCGACGATTCTTTGCATGACTATGCGTAGATTGTAGCTCGTCTGCCGGTCGCACCCATCTGGTCGCTGCTATTCTTCATCATGCTGCTCACTTTGGGCCTTGATTCACAGTTCGCTCTCATGGAGACCGTCACTACAGCAATACTTGATAGTGTTCCATCATTGAGAAGCTACAAAGTTTGGGTCGTCCTAGGAGTTGCGATGTTCGGATATGCTGGTGGTATCATTTTCACGACCAATGTAAGTTTAAATTTACTTTAACAACTTCATTTCATTGATGTAGAATTGATTTTTAATATATTATTACGAAAACTGTCTTTATCTTTTTAGGCTGGCATGTATTGGCTGCAATTAATGGATAAGCACGCGGCAAATTCGTCCGTTTTGTTGATCGCCGTAATCGAATGTGTTATTGTGGCATGGTTGTATGGTGCGGATCGCTTTTTGGACGATGTTCAACAGATGATCGGACCTCGAAGCCGTTTATGGAGATTATTCTGGAAATGGATGTGGAAGTTTGTCACGCCCGCGGCATTGTTCTTTATTCTTTCTTTTAATTGGGTGGTGTACAAAGAGATCAAGTATGGAGCTTACATTTATCCGATATGGGCAGACACATTGGGTTATCTTATTGGTAGACTTCCCGTTTTTGTAATTATCGGATTATTTATGGTAAGTTGAGATGTTCTTCTTAACTAATAACACAACACATTGACGAATATTATACGAAAAATTATGAATGCAGGATCAGCTAAAGGGACGACGTTGGCGATCATCTTACGATAATGATGATAAAGATGATAACGATGATGAGGATGAGGATGAAGATGACGATGATGAGTTTAATAAGGAATCTTGCCAAAAAGCGGAGAAAGAAAAGGGCAAAGATAAGAGAAAGAACATATGGAACCGTATAAAGATATTGATGCAGCCAACATCCAAGTGGAGACCAGCGTCGCAAAATTCTTTAACGCCTTTCAGAACTTTGACGACTTCGTTAGGTAACGATTCTTTATTAACTCAAATGACAATGATTTTCAACGTTGAATTATAATGCTTATAACATTAATATCTTGAAGCAACCTCAGAAGCGTATGACTCTGTGCAAGATACGATTATTTTGATGAATGGTCAGCCGATGATGCAACCATCCAGCGTTATTCCATCTGCTCAGAAACTCCCCGGACCATCGATTCTTAAAAATTCTAGCAAAACCGATTTGATTACCTCTCAGCAAGTGTGACATGACGTTCGTTTTACGTCCGATGATGATACCTCAATAGAATCATGCTGAAGATACAATATGCCCAACATAAAGTAAGCTTATTTTGACATGAATAAGCATTCTTATAATGTCGACAAATATATTTTGTCAATCGATTGATGCAAATTATCTTTTATTATTTGATTCGATTTATAGGAAGTATAAAATTTTGAATTTTCATAAATTCGAGTTTTATTAAAAATTGTATAACTTTTATTGGGCATGATTTTCACGATCGATTGCATTCAAGAAATGAAGGAAATGTATATTTTTTAACTATACAGTTTACTAATATTTGTAAAAAAAATCCTTTATTCTTTTATGATAAATTAAAATTGCAATACTTTGTACTGATAAAGAAGAACATTTATCAAGTAATGTCTTGATATTGACAGCGGAGCTTAAATAAATTATCGATATTAAATTTTTAATGGCCAAGGGATGTTACTAAATGTAAAATTGTCAGTACTTAAAAAAAGTTGGAAAGGATTGTAAAAAGTGACATATAGACAGTATTATTATTTTAAAGAATAATATAGAACAAATATTTTATTTTATTATTTTGTCTACTAAATATAATGAAAAGTATTACATACGAAAAAATTATTGTTTCACGATAGAAAAATATTTATTTTTGAAAATTGGACTGTTTTCATTGTGAAGAAAATATATATTACATGTATATACGTGAAAACACGTTTATAATTACATTTCGCAAATAGAACAAAAAAATTAAAGAAAAAGTAGGCAGTGTGAAAAGATAAAAAGAAGTCAAGATATACTCGATGTATATTTCTTGATAATTGTAAATATAAGTGTCTAGAGATATTTTGTAGATAAATACTGTACTTCTTGTAGATATAGATTGTTCAAAGAGAGAATTAGATATTAGATATTATAGATACATATCTCTTTGACGTGAAAGACATTCAGGGAATAAATTAGACATTTTGGATACGATAAAGAAAACGATAACAAGAAGTACCTACAAGGAAAATTGCGAGACCTATTGTAACTTATAGAGAAGGAAGTATAGACTCATCAATGAATAATAATTCATAACGAAAAAATCGTGATTTTTTATTTTTATGCAAAGTATTTCTTGGATAATTTCAAGCTGATAATCTAGCAGATGATTTGTGTCTCAACTAACATCTTGATAACTTTTTCAAGGAAAACTCGGAATAAGTGGAAAACTTTGTAAGTAAAAAGAGTGGCCTTAGTTCTCTGAAAGAAATTTTGCATATGAAGACACGAATATCTATAATATCTATGTGCCAATTATCCCAAGCGTATCTTGCTTGGAATAATCTTCACTTTTATCGCGTAATACGCCACATCAGAAAGTCAGTGTATACTAATCTTTGCACTTTCATTTTGAGTGCAAGATATTTTTGAAATTTTTATCCTGTTTGAATCTTACAAACTAAATGGATCATAAGTCGCTTAATGCCTAGAAATTGGCAATTGACAAATCGGACATCAAAAACTTTTATTCATAACGAGAATCAAAAATACTACAAAATTAGGAATTCAAAGACTTTAGTGATAGAGATAATACTTTTTAGTGATGGAGATAGTGAATGTAAATGGTTCGAAAACTAAAGAAATTTATGACGATTTTTAAACTATTGTAAATAATGCACGGATTGTAGAATTGAACGTATATACATACTGTCACGTATTTGAGATATTAGCGAGCTTAAAGCAAAAAAAAATGAGATGAGACAAATTTATTTTAGTAAGTCATGTTTTAAGACCGCAAAATTGAGAAATTAGAGCCAATGTCATCTTGTAAAAGTGCCGTTAGATATACACATATGACTGTTTTCCTCCTCGACAAATGCTTGATCAAGCCAGTTGAATGTTCAATAACTTTAATGTTTTTTGCAGATCATGCATTGGTTAACTAATGTGACGCGACTTCCCACACAATGATAGTAAAAGTATACCTCACTGTATGAAATAATGACAATTAATATAATGTTTAGTCACTGTTGCTGGTTTCCTATCGGTCAAGAGAGATGATTGACTGTTCTAATAATAAGTAAGATTATATAAGAGCAGTAACGCATAACGAATCGTGATAATATGGTGATGACACGATATCAATATCAAATCAGATAACAATCAACAAATTAATTATTTCAGAAATATATAATATATAATTTCTTCAAACACGTCACCACGTTGTGATATTTACCTTTCGATAATATCAAGTAAACATTTTTTAAAAAATTAGAAGAAATAGATAGAACAGCTAAAAGTTTTATTTTGCGGTACAGTCATACTGAATACTTAAGAATCTGTCATCGCAGTAATGGTTACGGTTCTAATGTTGTTACAAACAACTAGTAGAGCGAACAGTACAAATTAATGTGTCCTAGTTGCAGCATCTGATAGGAAAAAGATGCTTTCTTTTAGGGGAAGCCTCTTTTCTTCGTGAAAGAAAATTAATGGAAAAGGAAATTTTTTTCTCAAAAGTATTTGCGGTAGATTCGCGTAAGAGGAAAGTATTTTTTTATATAAATAACGGTGGCAATATTATCATTAGAACAAATATGTCTGCAAAAAAAATAATTTTATTGTAGAACTAAAGATGATATTTTAGTTGTGTCTTAATGCTGAACGGCGTACAATCAGGATACAATTAATAAGATGCCTTGAATGTGTATATATATATATATATATATATATATATACACACACATTTACACATACATACGCACACACGCACACGCACGCACACACGCACGCGCACACACAGAGCATTAGGAGAGAGACTTATACAATATGAAGAAAGATAGAAATAATTATATCGTACATATGTCTTGAATAGATTACAAAGAACATATGCATATGTTGACGTATTGCTTCATAATTTAAGTAGTCTGTTTAAAATTAAAAAAAAATAGAGAGAATTGGGTTCTCTCAAAAGATGAAAGTTATTAACAATAGTTTAGAATAATGATTGCGTGTTAATATATATGTGAGTTATATATATATTATGTATCCATACAGTACAGAATTTGCAGCAATATCGCTGCAATAACGCTGCAATATTGCTGCAACTTTTGTGCTATAGGGGTATAAAGATATTGAAAAATATCAAATAAATATGTTGTGTTATTATATATGTACATTGGGTTATAAAAAAATATATATATATATGTTACAAACACATCCACAAACATACTTACATATGCATGCGTGCGCATATGTGTAAATTTGTGATGAGCAATAAACATATGTTGTGTGTCATCAATAAAGTGTTGATATACATAGCCATTAGATCTCCATTGGCTTTCAATTGATTTCTAATACGACACCTCCTTCTTCAATTCATACAAACAACATCCCTGAAGGGACCGACAAGGTATAACATTCAAATAACTGGGATTAATTCTACAATCTTTGGCTTTTCACCGTTCCGTTGAATATTTTACAAGAACTGCGTCGAGAATAATTAAGTCATTCGCCGAAACTAAACTTCATAACCGTTAGTCCTTCAAGCAAAACTTAATCAGTTTAATAATTTCGAAGGCAATTTAATTTTCACTAATCGATTGAGTAAGCATTTTACTTCTGGATTGCAACTTTCGTACGTCTTTCGTTCGCGTTTCGATGTCATTAAATCTTCTTTTAGATCTCTGTCAGACTTTGTCGAGAGGCCTTACGAATCGCTCGAAGGTGGTCCAAATACGACTCTGCACCTCGAAACGGTGCCGAGTATCGGTTTCAAGAGTATGAAGAAGCCCGCAAAGAACAGCGACGCGAACGTCAAGTCTCTTCCGGTGCTGGTACCACCGGAGTTAAACCACCAATGGGTGTAAATTCCTGTGATGAGGGTAGCCAATAAAAGAATGGTTATGCTGATGCCACTGCAAGCGTGAGCAACCTTGATGAGCACCGGCCTTATACGTGGATATATCCAGACAGTGTTGTTCGCCAGGACTCCGAAAGTAGCGGTCAGGAAGGATAATATAATCGTTGTTAAGCCCAGTTGCGAGTGAGTTGTTGCAAAATGGGATCTATTATAGTTGACTTTGTTAACAATGATGATAATAAAACCGATCCCGATTAGGGTCAGGCCAATTGTGTGTAGAATCCAATGTATTGTCACTCTGTTACGCCTGGGTAGCTTCCAAGCGATGTATGCTTCACCGGAGACGCTGAAGACAGCCTCTGTGATTAGAAGACCGACCTTCGCCACGAGATGGAGAAATATTAAATTTTTATACAATCTTGGAATAAAAAGATTAAACGCTTCGTTTAATCATTAGACTTTAACTGATTATTGTTATCGTGATAAAAATACATCTATAACAACAAATTAATTGACTAGAAATTAAATTGACTGTTTCGGTTTTTCTGAAATATTTCAGAGGTTTTCTTTTATTTTTGTTCTATACTTACCCCAACAGACATACAAATCGGATGCCAAGAGAAGAAATTGTAATTCCCAAAGGCAATTACCAAGATATAGATCACCGGAGCCACGAGTAGAAAATGCGTCAGTATTGAGAAGCCGAATGTTATGGCGCTCGGCGGCCCTTTGTTACTTTCGTTACTCATGTCGAGAAGGAAGCGATGATATCTCTTTGATACCTGATATAATAAAAAGAGATTTTCATTGTTAAATTCGTAATCTCAAACTATACTCAATTTGAGTTATCTTTAATTCTATAGATCGCTACTGCTTCTACTCTATGTGTCATTAATTGAACTAAAACAATGTTAAACAATTTAATTTCGAGAAAATGTATTAAATTAGACTCTCAAATTTAGTTTATTATTTACTAAGATAATATGAATGTTGCCTATCAAGTAGGTAATTAACTTTCCATAAAAATAGATTGATTTACATTTTGACACACATGAAAGTTAAAAAAACATACAATTAAATAAGTATTTAAAAATTAAAATTAAGCAGCAAGATATTTTAAGATATTTAATAAAATATTTTTATAAATTTCTCCTGTCACATTTTACTTAGAATTTTCGTATAATATTATTCTACTAAATATTTTATATATTCCCTGTATCCCATATTCCTATTATGTGAGAAGAGGAAAGGTTTTTTGGGAGTCGCTGCAGTCAGGGTCCGGAAGAAGTCCAACCCAGCACTGCTGGGTAAGCGTAAAGTTCTATGGACGCTGTCTATCTTTTTACGTAATTCCTTGTAATTATTATGAAGCTCTGAATGTACGATGCGTGATTCATCTTTAATTGTACGATGCGATTTCTTGCGTCTTCCAACATATCTATCTTTCAGTCTTGTTATCTCAATTTACGCGCTTGAATTTTATATTTGTACATGTATGCGATTACTCGATCAAGTATATATAAATAAAAAAAAATAAATCATATGTATTTATAAATATAAATGATAAATTTTTTATCGCACGTATAAAGCTTACTAGTTCTGGAACACACATATCTCTCATGTTATGTTTTATTACAGAGGAAGATATTAAATGATTTCCGCTACAACTGGAATTTATATTTTAAACAGTAATTTAAAATAATATTTAAAATATTATGATGCAAAGATATTTACAAGATATAATTTGCACGGTGTTAAATTAACAAAAGGAGTTACTTACAAAAAATATTATTATTCCTTACAATTAAATAAACCATACGCAGTAAAACCAAACGAATGTTATTAAACAAGAAAGATCGAGGCATTAGTTAAGCGATAAAATTCAGACCCTCATAACAATTCGTTTCGTTAATGACTTGATAACCAACGATAAGAAATGCTCGTTGAACAACGCAAACATGTCACTCAATCCGTAGAATATTGCGGAATGTAAAAGTATATTTATAGTGCATTCCAATGATTATGTAAATGTCAAAATTGCAACAATAATTGCAAAAAAAAAACAATTTCTAAAAAATTTCTTTTTAGTGGAATTCTATTTAAAGAATATTACGTTAAAATTATTACCTTTAAATTATTTTTATTTATATGAAATAAAAAATTCATTAGACACTCTTTTTTCAAGAACAAATATTATTAAAGATAATAAATTTTTCTTTATTAAAAAATTTACATTTTTTTTTGGCATTATTAGGAATGAAAAATCTTTTTCTCTAAAAGGATCAGTATTAAAAGGATCAGCATTCATAAAAATTATTTATAGAAAAGTCTTTTAGTTGCATCATAATATGTTTTATTTTTAAATCAATGTGATAAAAAATAAATAACAAATGATATTAAATTAATACATATCTATTATAACAATAATTTTTTACTTTAATTCTAAATAGCGTGTTATCTACACAACAAATATTTATTTTGAATTCACACAACAAATATTATACCTCGAATTTACATAAAAAATATTTATCTCGAAATGATACATATTTTAGATATCTGTACTTTTCACATTATTTCTATTTACACGTGATATTATTTCATGTGACCTTATTATGAGAAATCTTGTATGTACGAGTATATGTATATAAAAAGTGTCACAAATATTATTTCAATTATATTCTTTATGCAAATTTAAAGTCAATATTTTTTAAATAAAATTCTACAAGTAATAATTGTTTGTACTTTCCGTTATTAAATTTATATGATGTATCCTTAATTAATTAATTTTATATCAATGAACTTAATTAATTAATTTTGTACTAGCAGCGTTAATTAATCAATTAATCATTCAACGTTAATTAAATAATTAAACATCTCTTTTAATATATAATTTACTTAACATTAAACGAAGAATATTATATGTATAGTTTGCTCGTATTTACTAACATGTTTGAAAATTTCTTTGGTTTAGTGATCAATCACAATTATCAACTTCGACAATAAAGTAATTAAAAGTAAATACTCGAGCGAAACATCAAGTATACATAGCGTGATGTTATGTCATTAGTCAATCTAATTAATCTTCTTCCTCTCTCTTCTTTTTTAAAACAAGTACTACAATAATATATATACTACAATAATAAACAGTAATATATATTATATTTACCATGATGTTTGACACAATAAGGACCAAAGTCACGCTTATGCTACAACAATTCTTACGAGAAAGTCACCGAACGATAACTTGGTTGACTCACCGCGTAAACACCGTTCGACTGCTACATAAAGTTGTCGCCAGCCTTAAAAGAGGAAGCTTCGTAAAAAAAAAGGACCAAACAGGAATCCTCTCTCCAGCCGTTTCGATCGGTGGAGCAGCTAATCGAGTAACACACGCGCGCAATCGCGTTCGTGACGTGACTGAGCGTCTGGAATATGGCGATCTAGGCTGTGGATCCATGGATCATTATCGTGGCGTCGCTGGCCGATGAGGAAACATCGCGGTCGGCCTTGCAGTGTCGGAGCGTATGGCGTTGCCGGACCAATCGCCTAGATAGAAAACACTTGATGAAATCATAGCCCTTCGTTCTGTTACTCGGGAAGAAAAATTTCCCTGAAATTCTCTTTACTCCTTGATGCCTGAATTTTCTGGCGAGCCGATCGAATGGAACGGCGTCGAATGGGAAAATCGTGGAAAATCATGTTACACGTCCGTCGGGCCCGAAAAAGAGGCGGTTCGATGTTGCGGCCTTGGTACGAGCGGCCGCAACGCACGCACACTTTTCGATCGCGTAAGCGCTGGTAAGGCGCAAGTATGCACGCTCCATAAATTTACAAGGCATCCGCATAATGCAGCCAAAGAAAACCGAGAGAGAACTCGCGCGGGAAATGCTTTATAACTCCTCATTATCTGACGTATCTTGAAACTTTTTTGCGAAGTTAAAAGGAAGAAAGAGAAAAAAAATCTTTTCTCCGGAGTATCTTCTCGCAATAACACTTTTACTACCTCTTTCATGAGAAAGATTTATTACATCTATAAAATTTAATTATGCATTTAGCGATTAAAATGATTTCTCTCGCGTTTTTTGACCGTTTATATATAGTTTTATTGCAACTCCTTACTAGAAATGTATGCAATTTTCTTAGACACCTATCCAGTTATTATCTGATATTATGTATTATTTTTATTAGTCGTAACAATACTGCGTAGGAAATGGACAAAAACCTGTTTAGTACCAACAGATTATTATTAAAATATTGTATAATCCATTTAGTCCTGTTTCTGTTCAATAAAAAGATTCAGATTTTGCGCATCTTTTGTCCGCAGTAATTGCACACAAAGCCGTTACATCTTGATTGGAATTTTAAGTAGTTTTATTTCTCAGTTGCTAGTCAAAGTTAATATAACTATCCAGTAATTGTTTAAAAAATGCATGAAATTTTTAAATGTCTCAGTAATCAGACATTTAATACTTATATCCAAACATTTATACAAAAACTTTATATTTATTTACATTAATATTAATCTCACAAATGTTTTTTTTTAAATATAATATTTTAATTTAATTGTAATCTTTAAATACAATTAATTATAATATTGTAAAAAAAAAGTATTTGAGAGAGATTAATAATAATAAATTCTATCTAAATATCCGAATATATATAGATATTAAATATATGTCTAGTCACTGAGAAGTTTATCTTATCAGGGCTCTCGTACATAGTTTATATACAATACTTTTAAAAATAATAGATCGTATGTATTTGTGCTATTTTTTTAAATTTACCGATGTCGTGAGCAACTAGTTAGGAACACAATTAGAGATCATCCGATAATGTATTGCTATCTAGAATGGAACATGACTTGTGTTTATTGAGAATTAATGCGCTTTGAATGATAATGTTCTTCTTTTTCTTTGATTCAAGCAGGTTAAATGTATTCTTTCCTTTGTTTAACTTCTCTATAACTAGCTGGTCAATAAATAACACTTCTTAAATCTGCGCGAATAAGGACGTTAAGGTTTGTGTGTGTGTGTGTGTGTGTGTGTGAGACACTTGTTACCATAATATATAATGTTTCACATCAGAGAATGATTTCTTTTTTTTTGTTTAATGTGTAACACAATTACAGAAAGCCATCTGACAGAATCGAGCAGCGTCACGCATATCTGCGCACGTGCAACGATGCATGTAGCGATAGTGACAGTTGTGTTGTGTGTTGATTGTTGGTCGTCGTGACGACTGATGACGACGACCGGGTCGGGCAACCCCTCT